ACTCGTCTTTGATCTTGGAGCGCAGGAACTTCATCTTTTCTGCTTCACCATGGACGAGCATTACGTTCTTTGGCTCACAGTTCTGAATTAGCTGCATGATGCCTGCAATACACAAAATAAATTAGTATCAGCATTAAAGTTTCTAGCTTATAGCAACCTTTGGCATCGGCATGGGCCGAGAAGCTCATGTACTCAACGGCCATTTTGACTTCGACCACCTGCCTGTTCTCGAACTCCACCTTCTTGGCGCCTCCGAGAATCTTGTTACCCACTGTGCCCTGCACACAATAGCCGGGCATAATCACCATGTTGTTCTCGTTTGGCGCCCACTTCTTAAAGATCTGCAGGGAAAGACCCGCGTGCAGCATGCCTGGCGTTGCGAACACCACCATTGCTCCAGGGTTATCGATGTAGGCCTTATCGAACGGCTTGATGTGCTTGAAGTCGAACATGTTGCGGTGAACGAAGGTCTTGCGAATCTTTTGGTTCGTCCAGGTGATGAACATTTTGTAGTAGGTGTTGGCCTTCTCGGTAAGTCCCAGAGCAAAGTATATGGGGTACTTGAGGTTCATGCGTTCCCAGTACGTCTCCAGCAGGATGCACAGCTCCTGGGCGCGACCCAGGGCGAAAACTGGGATTAAAACCTTGCCCCCCTTGGCCACACACTCATGGACTTTCTTAAGAAAGTCCCTCTCACGGCACCGCTTCGAGTCCCTAATAGTAGTGGCGTACGTGCTCTCAGAGATCAGCAAGTCCGGTCGGCACTTGTCTATCCAGGCGGCGCCCAGATGCCTGTCTGGCGTCATGTTGTAGTCCCCCGTGTAGACCACGCTCTGGGAGCCCACCTTGATCCAGAACATGGCGGCACCCAGAACGTGGCCGGCATAGTAAGCTTTGATCTCCAGGTCCGTGTCCACCATCATGCTCTGGTGAAGTGTGACGGGAATCACCTTCTTCATGCAGTCCTTGATCATCTGGGTGGTAAAGAAGTTGGACTCGCCCTTCCGCTCCACGGCCACCTTGCGCATGTCCTCCAAAAGGATGGGCGCTATGGCTTTGGTCGGATGCGTCATGTAGATGGGCCCGGTGTAGCCCACAATCTCAGACATGTAGGGCAAAGCGCCGCAGTGATCTGTAATGCATGCAATCGATAAAGAAACGATTAGAGCGAGTTGACCAGATAAGCGCGGTGCAGAAGACAGAAACTCACCCAGGTGAAAGTGCGAGATGATCACACAGTCAATGTGGCTTGTGATCGGACCCTCTGGCACTATATAGGAGAAGTCCGGGAAGCGGCGCTCGTCGTTGAAGCCCATATGCATCCCGCAGTCGAGCATTATGTTCTTCCCGCCCATCGAGAGCAGCAGACAGCTGCGGCCCACATCCTGGCCGGCGCCCAGGGGTGTTATCTTGATGTCCGGCATTTTTGGAAGGGATCAGGATCACCAGGCTCCACTCTCCTGCTTTCTTGCGGCCACTTGTTGCGCTGATAAATAAAATTGCCGAAAAAGTCGACCGTGATTTTTGTAAACAGCAAGGCCGCAGCAAGGCGTTGCCACTCCGTCGGTGTGGGTGATCTGGCAACGACGCGTTTGCAGTAGCAGATCTTATTGGAGTGTTCCAAAAAGTTTCAAGGAATTCAGAAAATTAATTAAAATTAATAAATATGTACATGTGTATAATTCGTTGATGATACTCGAAAAATACAACTTTTGTACACAAAGTCTTTAATCCAAACAATGTTCAACATCTGCATTTGAGAACACTCCCGCCAAAATTTTGCCGCTCAAGAAACGGTCATACTGAACCGAAAGGAAAATAAAAGATAGCGTCTTGTCTTATCAAATCACTGTTTTGTTCTCTGCGGGCTAACTTGCAACTTGTGCAGGATGCCCGATTCCGTGGAGGACACCACCACAATCTCGCTGCGGATATGCCTGGAAGGACACGCGAACGCCCTGGCCTTGAATAAGGACAACAACCAGATTGCTTTGGCCGGAAGAAGCTGTAAGATTAGAATCGTCAAGGTCTTTCTATAAATACACCTAATTTCCTTCCGAACAGTGCTTAAGGTGTACTCCATAAACAGCAATGGGTTCACGGAATCGTGTAATATGCGCGGAAAGAACCAGAATCTTAGCTACTCCGCCAACGATGTGGCCTGGTCCACCTTGGATAGCAATCTTTTGGCTACGGCGGCCACAAACGGAGTGGTTTCCGTATGGGATCTCTCCAAGTTCGGCAGGCAGAAGCAGCTTCTCGTCTACAACGAGCATGAGCGCACTGCCCACACCGTGACCTTCCACAGCAGCGAGCCTAACATCCTGATCTCCGGTTCCCAGGATGGCACCATCAAGTGTTTCGACATCCGGTCAGATAAGTCGGTCAACACCTACTTCTGCAACTCGGAATCCGTGCGGGATGTCAAGTTCAGTCCGCACACACAGAACATATTCTCCGCAGTCTCCGAGAATGGAACTGTACAATTGTGGGACATGCGGAAGTGGGACAAGTGCATGGTGCAGTTTACTGCGCACTATGGCCCCGTTTACACCTGCGACTGGCATCCCACAAGAAATTGGCTGGCCACCGGAAGTCGGGACAAGCAGATCAAGGTGTGGAACATGGATGGCAGGCCAGGATTGGAACACACCATCCACACAATCGCCGTGGTGGGACGGGTTAAGTGGCGACCAGAAAGAACGTAGGTTTTTAAAGCCTGGTTTAACCAAGTTATTTCTGATTAAATCTTAAATGTTTACCAGGTATCACATCGCCAGCTGTGCCCTTGTGGTGGACTACAGCGTTCATGTGTGGGATATCCGCAGACCCTACATCCCCTTCGCCTCCTTCAACGAGCATACCAATGTAACCACTGGAATTGCGTGGCAGGGCAGCGACTCGCATTGTCTTTTGTCCATTAGCAAAGACTCCACCATTTACAAACATGCTTTCAAGGACGCAACGAGGCCAGCGCTAAAAGCAAATGCCCAGGGAGCTAGCCTGGGCAGATTCGGGGACATATCCTTTGCCAACAAGATAAAGGAGTATGAGCCCAAGAGCAGTGGCGCGTCCAATACGAAGTCTTCCAGCTTCATGTATGTCCTTGTTGCATCAACTTTTATGTTTCTAAGTATGTTGGTTTTAGAAGTCGCCGTAAGACGAATGTGGCTGGCAGCATTCAGTTCCATTTAGACCATTCCAAGATGTACAAATTCATGGTTAACGACACGGTTAGTAAGACACCATTGGGGAACTTCTTAGTTATATCTAAACACATTGATATATTTCAGTTCTCCGGCTATCCCCTGAGCGAATCTGTTTCAAGACCTACCCAAGAACACGAGAGCTTTATTGGCTGTGCCAGGGAGCTGGTTATCAGTGGTAAAAAACTGGCGGAGTTATGCGAGCACAATGCAGAGGTTTCCAAAAAATACGGCAAACATAATGTGAGCACTTGAGAATACTCCCAAACTTTGTCAAAACTAAAGCACCAAATTTTTTAGGCCACCACGTTGTGGAACTTTATCAAACTTTTCTACGGCAGCAATCACTTTGAGCCTCCCTTCGAGCACCGCTCCTCCTTCTCGAATCAAAAGAATCCAATGAACTCACGACGTGCCACGCAAGTAGCCAGCGATTGGCCTCAGCAGCGAACGGATCTAGGCCAGGATCTCAATGGAAACACGCCGGAAACAGCCCACGAGATTGATGTGGCAAATGTGGACGATGATCCGCTGGGTAGCAGTGGTGTGGAGCATCCCCCTACGAGCTCAGTGATTCTGTCCGAAACGCAAATCATCAGCGAGATTACCTTTGACAACTTTGAGCTGTTGCGCAATGGGTTTATTTACGTGGGTCCCACTGAATGCCCAAAATCTTTGGCCTTCCCCGCCCTTCACCACGATGTGCAGGCAGCACGACCACAGCTGGATCTCAAGGCTTCCGATCACGAAAAGTCTCCTGTAAGTTTGGATTGTTAGGCATTTGTTATACTTATAGTTGAACCTATTGCTCGTCTCTTAGCCACCGCATGTTCCCACTGTCCTAAAAGTCAGCCATGTCCCGCCCATTCCCATGTGGGAACCGCATAAGTTCGTGTCCGATGCCCTCATGCTAATGAACGACGTGGGCGATGTGCAAACAGCTCTAACAGTCCTTATAGCGCTGGGAGAAGCTCGGAAACTCCTGCCCATTGATGATGCATTGGTGGTGTGTTTATAGACAAAGCTGGGATCAAAGCATAGTTAGTCATCTGGTTTTCCCTTTTCAGGAGCACTGGTTTTACACCTACGTGGACCAGCTGCATCGCTATGAGCTGTGGAACGAGGCCTGCGAGGTAATCAACCGCTCCTGGCTGAGGTCGGTGCAGCAGCTCAACCAGCATTCGACAGCCATGCACACGAATTGTGGGGAGTGTGGACGTCCAATGGGCGGCAAGGTGGGTTGGTACTGCGACAAGTGCAAGTCCATGCAGTCTGCCAAGTGCTGCGTCTGCGGTCTGATCGTCCGGGGAGTCTACGCCTGGTGCCAGGGATGCTCCCATGGAGGTCACATAGAGCACCTGCAGAAGTACTTTGCCAAGCACTCCAAGTGCCCCAAGTGCGGACACCTTTGCGCGTACTCATGAGACGGGGAGGAGGCTGGGTTTGCCCAGCTCTTGCCCCCGATTTGAAACCCTTGTAAATAGAGAAGACTTAAGCCCAATAAGTACCTTGCAATAGACACTAAAAAAATTTCGTATACATGTAGCTCGAAGCCATTTGAATATTGAAGGTGCATACTTGTAAAATAAGCTCAACATTTGTGGAATATATCGTTTACATATACTAAGGAAATAGTTTAGCAAAGGCAAACAAAATTAACAGACTAGTTTAACGATCTTCTCCATCTTTGAATAGCACACATGTTTGTTATTTAATTATTTGCAAAAAATGGTAAATAAATTGTTGTCTGTTGATAAATTTCCACGTTAATAAATTTTTTCAGCCATCCTTGAGTGTTTGTTGCAGATTCGTATTGGGCTTTAATCGCTTTTGTTGATTAGTGTTAATAACAGTGTATTTATGCGAGTGTTTCAAACTTAAGGCTACTTGATGAAGGTGCTCTTAAAAGGTAATATTACAACCACCTTGCAGTTGATAGTTGAGCCGCACATTCAGTAGCAGAAAGGGGAGAAAAAATTATAAAATTGAGAGTTCTGTAGGGATTAAAAACAGAAAGCAACGTATGTTGCGGTTGTCTTTAACTAAATATCTAATTGTATGTCCTCGCGGGTGGGTGGAAATCACGACCGTCCACAAGGACACCACCGCCAGCCAGCGCTGTCCAAAAATCCATCATGCCCTCAGCGCAATGGAATTTTGGCAATGCCTATGCATTTTATGTTTTGTTAGAATCCAATTTCAGTTTTCTTGCATTGCGCTTCGCGCACTTATAACTTTGAGCTGGGGTGCACCCACTCAAAGCTTGGACTTTGGAGCAGCGTTGGCGGCTAATTGTCAAGAGGCAAAATCGAGGCTCACAGTTTGGCAGGAGTCGCCCACTGTTCCACTGGAGCCGGCTGAGGTAGCATTCCGCTTGAGCGTTGGCCCCTCATCGTAGCGAATGGTCATGGAATTGGAGTTTCCGGGAATGGCCACGTAGCCCAGCGACTCGTAGAACTTGATCAGCTTGTCCTTGCAGTCCAGCGACATTTTGTAGCAGCCCAGTTCCTCGGCCAGCAGCGATACGGTGACCACGATCCTAAATGGTGAGTCGAAGGATTAATATTTCTTCTTGAGAATATGATACACCACGCTTACAGTTTTCCCAGTTGCTTGCCGCGATAGGTGTCATTTACCACCACATCCTCTAGACGACCACGCTGAGGAATAAATAATAGATTAATTTAAGAGATAAAAGTCACCTTCTTCACTTACGACAGCACAGTTATGGATGAACTTGCGCTCAATCACCAAGGATGCAGCTCCAATAATCTCATTCTTGCGGGTGTCCTCAATGACGGTGACAAAGTAATCCCCGCTGGCTTTCATCTGTGAGAAGCGGGCTGGAGAAGATGGACATGGTCAGTACTAATACTTAAATCCGAGCTGAAATTCACGACTCACTCAAGAACTGCGTGCGATTCACATTGCCCACATGGGTGAGTTGGGAGAGCAGCTGCAGGAATCCACGGTCGTAGTCGGTGTCCTTGAGAGGGCGCACTTTCATCCAGGGCTCGCCGGGATTAGCCGCCGATATGAAGGGCTTGAAATTGGCGGGACTGCGATGAAAGTCCAGTTTCAACAGCAGACTGGGATCGTACAGATATGTCTCCTCCTGTAAGATTCAAAGCATAGAAGGGTGAGAGGGTAAGAGTAAATAGAGATAGGCAGCAATCTATGAGTATCAAGTTTCCAATATATGTGCGATATTTCTGAGTGATTTTGCTGATTAGAGATGTTTTCTATAGGCTGAGTTTTAGTGATTGCGACTACCGTAAGTTGCACCATTTTGGCAGTGGACTTCACACGTCAGCAAGTGACGCCGCTGGAGGCAAAACTGAAGGTAAAACTCAGTCAACAGGTAAAAAGGTGGAGCTGCGATAACAGGAATGGTATCAAGAACTGGTTTCTTGCACCCAACACTTTCGATTCGCTGGTGGCCAACTGGTTTTGCCTCATTTGGTATCATTTACGTTCAGTTCTTCTATTTTTGGCGCATAAATTACATAGTACGAGCAAACCGGTGAAGTGCGTAGCTCCACCGACTAGTATTGATTTAGTTTGTTGTGGTTTTAGCCAGGATTAAAGCAAACAACGTGGGCTCGAGGTCGCGGTGACTGAACTGCCACATGGTCACGTTTTTCATACGGCATTATACAAAAAGTATTTATATTTCACTATTTATTTAAAAGCCACTTACCATGATTTTATCTAATGTCTGATAATGATAGTGAAGCACCAATTTACACTTTTTCCCTATCTCCCGCGACAAAACTAACAAATTGAAGCGGAAGTTTTTCCGGCCGCTATTATCGCTCGATGTTTCGGAGCAGACTGAGCGAAAAACGCAAGCCGCACGATATTCACGTAAAATACAGAAAGCCAAGCGCTAATTGGCAGTCAAGAGAGGCTAAAAACCCCTGGAAAAGACATAAAAGCTGCAGTTTCAACGCTAAAATGACCCTGAAGATTCGGCGATGTGAATGTAAACACTTAAACAGCTGATTGCCAAGAGAAGGGTTCTGCAGAAGATAGAAAGAAAGAGATGGCTGGAGAGCAAGAGAGAGAATGGTCAGCTGAGCGTACAGTTGCTCTTGACTAAAAGAGATATTCCATAATTTTATAATATAATAAGGTATATATATGAATCAATATTCAAGGTGCTTTTATTTCTGCTAACCAATCTTTACTGTTCCTCATACGTTTCTACAATTAAATAACACAAACGTAACGTAAGCGGGTTACGTTACGTAGCCACAATGTATTTGGGAGTCTGGTACATTTCGTAGGCGAATTCCTCGCGATGGCTGGGATCGTACTGCAGACCCACATAGTCTATTTCCAGGCCAAACGGACCGTCCATTCCCTTCTTGGCGGCGACGGAGAATCCAAAGTGGGTGATTCTATTCAGCGGTACGGCGCCCTGGCGATCCTGGACACGACCCTTGGAAGAGAGGAAGAACTTGGAGAAGGGAATCTTCGCTATCTGCCAGTGGGGACCACCGCGCGTGTACAGAACATAGTGGTAGATGTCGTTCCACATCAGATCGAAGTAGCCCTCGGTGTGCAGGTTGATCAGGTAGCTGCGACCATCTCCTCGCACCTTCATGATCAGCATGTTGTACTGCGTCCAGTCGTAGGTGGACTCGCGCTTGAAGGATTTCTGAGGAAAATTATGTTTAGGATCGTTACATCCAATGAAAAATCCACAATAAACTCACCCGCACTCTTTTTGTGCGAATGTTCGCGTATCCCGTCCTTTTAATAATGCCATCCTTGGTGTGATTCGAGTTCACTTCGCCATGGAAGAGTCCAGCGCCGGCTGCACTCAGTTCCAGAGTGGCGGTACTCTTGCCCTCGCCGTGATCCGCATCCGTGGTCACCGTCCACTTGTCCAGCACATCGGGCGCCTTGAAATTGAACACCACATCCGTTTCACCCGGCCGGAAGACCAGGATGGGATCACTTTCGAACTGCTCCTTCACCTCCTGGCGCCACAGCTTCATCTCCTCCTTTAGGTCCCTCAATCCGTCCATGATCATCTGCTTTTTCGAGGGCTCCGGCAGCTTGGTCTTGTAGCCGGACTTTTTCTCGCGCTCCCAGAATGTCCGGTGCACGGCGGTGGTGTGGATTTGCTGCTGGACAGCCGGATGGCAGCAGCCCAGGCGGAGTCCTTGTCGCAGGAGGCTATTCATCGTGGCATTGGTTTAATTTAAATTAAATCTTATTTCTTAGCCGCCTCTGCGGCAAAACAACGTAACAAGGAACAGCTGTTCCCAGTTGCCATTCTCTACGAAACAACTGTGCACAGTAGATATTCGATAGATAAGCACTGCTGGAATGTAATAATCCAAATCGAATTTAAATACTTTGCACACTTCATACTACATTAATTTTCACTTTCTATGTGGCGGCTGACTTTGTTATTCTTCCTAAGTCATTGAATGCATTTCTATTCCCCTTAGCTAAGCTTCACTTTGCTTTATTCGTAGTGAATGGCAATTCCAGTTTTGTTGTCATTGCTAATCACTTTGCATTTCGCTTGGAGTTCAAAGGTTTGATAATCGGATCGCATCGGATTGGGAACATGAAAGTGCAGGACATGGACAAATGTGCTCCCAGCAGCGACTGGAACGTGCTTTACTGGGTGCTCGGCACGATCCTGATGCCGGTGGCTCTTCCACTGGCCCTCATTAACATTTGGCAGCGGTTCCAGGCCCAAAAATACCGGAATCAATTGCCCGGAAAGGTGACGAGTAACTTGCTGACTGATGTGCCGGGTAATTATGTAAACTATTTGCAGGTTGTGCTCATCACGGGCGCCAGTTCGGGCCTGGGCGAATCCTTGGCCCACGTCTTTTACCGCGCTGGATGCAGGGTCATTTTGGCGGCACGTCGCACTCAGGAGTTGGAACGGGTTAAAAAGGACCTCCTCGCACTGGATGTGGTAAGTCCTGCCCTCCAAGTTGTGTGTTTACATTGTGAAGCATCAAACCTTTCAGGATCCCGCTTATCCACCGACTGTGCTTCCCCTGGATCTGGCCGAACTGAATTCCATTCCAGAATTTGTCAACCGGGTGCTGGGCGTGTACAATCAGGTGGACATACTCATCAACAATGGAGGGATCAGCGTGAGAGCGGATGTGGCATCCACGGCAGTGGATGTGGATCTCAAGGTGATGGTGGTTAACTATTTTGGCAGCGTCGCTTTAACGAAAGGTAACTAATAAACCCTTTATCCCAGAAAATCAACCAAATCTTGTACTATTCCTCAGCTCTGCTACCTTCGATGGTGAAGCGTGGTAGTGGTCACATCTGCTTCATTAGCTCCGTTCAGGGTAAATTTGCTATCCCCCAGAGAGCTGCCTATTCCGCCTCGAAACATGCCATGCAGGCCTTTGCCGATTCGCTGCGAGCCGAGGTGGCAAATAAGAACATAAACGTGTCCTGCGTGAGTCCTGGCTACATACGCACCCAGCTCTCCTTAAATGCTTTGACGGGATCGGGAAGCAGCTATGGCAGTATGTGAATGTATACCTTATAACAACAAATGAAAGCGTATCTTATTATTTTACTCCCAGAAATGGATGAAACTACGGCCAAAGGCATGTCGCCCGATAAACTAGCAGAACGCATTCTGCAATGCATTCTTCGCAAGGAACCGGAAATTATTGTCAGCGAGTTCCAGGCCAAGGTTGCCTATTACCTCCGTCACCTTTGCCCGAGTCTCTACTTCTGGATCATGGCCAAGCGCGCCATCAAACTGGAGAAAGCTGAGAAAAAGTCTACTTAGGCCTAGAGCATGTTAAGTCAAACGTCCTTAATTATTAGTTTCATTTTTATTGTTAATTGAATTTCGCTTAAAATGAGGAAATTATAAAGTATCGCATATGTGTGTGTTCGGGTTAAAAATGAGTTACATTCGTGTTATTGCCTAACGATAAGATTAATAAATAAAGTATTGTAGTAATCGTAACATAAAGTACAACTGAATTGTCACACATGTGCTTCTTGTTCGCTTGTCTTTAAAAATGTTAAAATGTAATCGTAAAATGCTAGTATTCACTTCTTTGCTCTTCGGTTTCTGTTTTGTTCGATTCAATTAATTTCGTTTGTTTTTCATTCGATTTCTTAAAGACATTTACGCGTTCTTAATTGACAAAATTACATATTATTCATTTAGGTTCTTGGATGGGTGATGCGGTCTTGGACAACATTTAAAACTGGCCATTAACTAGGGGTAGACGATGGTTTCGTGGGGAATCGGGAGACGTACATACGTGTTTATCATTCATTTAGCTAAATTATAAAAAATAGCATTAATCCATCTCATGAAAAGTATAAAAATTAATTACAATTGAGGTACACAATACACATACAGATTTAAAAATCGTTTGCAGTTTTACAATTACATTAATATTTATGTATATTTAGATTAAAATCAATCGGTTCCCTTATGTACAATACACAAAAATTGTTCTTTTCGCGCTAAATAGTCTTTTTGTCACGCTCAAAATACTTCGCTCCATTTCGCTTAGACAATAATCATTTGCATTTAAGTATATACAGTACACACAAACATTGGCAAAATTCATCTCTTTAATACACTGGATAATAAAATGTGACCTTTGGAAATACACGGGATGGGAGTACATGATCCTATAGGTTTCTCTTCTCCAGTTTGAGCTGAAGTATCTCCAAGTACTTCCCATTTGGTTTGCACTCACTAAAATCTATTAGGAAAACATATCCCACTCCGGTGTATCTTTGTGTTTCCTAGTGTTATCTTTTGGTAAGTTTCCATCTTTTGCCTGCCATATTTTGTATAGTTTCGTATTGAAATATGCTGTCGAGACAAGGTAGAAACTAGACTCCTCTTCGACTTCGGGTTTATCAGTATTCATCTTTATGTTAAGCATTTCAAAGCGATTGTCGCGTACTCGTTTTAACTATTTCCGTTTCCGGTTTCTTCACTGGCCAACGCGTTAACTGTCTGTCTGTCTATATACGATATTTTGGGTCGGTTGTGGGGTAATGGGTCCTGGGTCATGGGTCATGGTTCCTGGGTGCTGGGTCTCTTGAGCTGAGCTTTTGGCTTCTATCTTGTATCTGTATCTTGTATATTCCACAAAAATATACCCAAATGCTCGTACAGTTGCAATGGCTATTGCACGCCCCACATGGATGTATGTATATACTCTTGATACGCCTTTGATTTCCTACACGTTCATATAGCTACAAATATCAATTGTTGTCCTTAGCCTAAGATCCTTAATGCTGGGTGTTGGGTGTTGTTGGTGTCTAACTCAGAAGCCGCTGCTCAGTGGCTCGATACGGAATGTGACTCTATATCCTAGGCGCTATGAATATCGATTGGTGTGGGGTGTCTCCTTATTGTTTGCTCTCATTGCTCTAACTGGATTGCATATAAAAACTATGACCATTCGCTATCCTATGTACACTACGGGCTGCTAAGGGTGTCACTATGGGATCGATGCGTGTGTACAGGTGCCGTGCTCGAGGGGATCGGGTGGATAAGTGTCAGTGCTCGGGTGGCTAACTTCCTATGTGGCTGGCTGGGAGTTCTCTAAGACCTACTTTCGATGCATGATGCTTTTGATTTATTGACAGTATCGTTGGTTATCTTTGTATCTAATCCGTACAGCTATTTGCAACTTTACCCGGCTCCCCATTTATATTTTCCTATATGCTACATCTCCAGCTACACCAACCTCTATCTTCCTCTATTCCTTTATTCCTCTCTAATCTCTCTAATCTTAGTTTTGATCTTCAGAAAATATGCAAAGTATTTTGAAATGTTCTCGGCTAATATTTCATCGTTTTAGTTCCTTACTAAAATAGCACCTTGTATTGTTTTGTGTGTCGTCGTAGTTCAGATGAGTAGTGATCGTTGTTCGAAACTTGAAGAGCAGGCAACCTAGGCAGTTAAAGTGTATAGTAGGTACATAACAATGCAGTAATACTGTTTTGAAAACAACTATAGATTTAGAGTATAGACCAAGTTCAGGCAAACGTAAAGAGGGAGCATATGATCAGGTATTTCAATTCGATTTTCTTCTTACAACTGGTTCTGAAATCGAGTATCTGTGAAATGGGACTTTGGCTTTATGTAAAGCTCTTTTAGTTTTGGTTCGATAAGTAGAAAACGTCATTGAATTACGAGCATATGCCCTGTTTCCATTTCATGATTCGATCAAATAGGTAAGGATTGGTGAGATCTCATCTTCATCTATCTCAACTTCTAATCCAACTGTCCAATCGAATCTGGAAACCGGAACTAGAATGCAAACAGTAAACAGTAAACAGTAGAAGGTACAAAGTGCGGTGAGTGCGGCTGCGGTTTGGATTGCGGTGGCATCAGTGGGTGATAGGGTGCCCTAGTGGGTGGTGATGCATTCGAGGTGCTGGGGCGAGCCTTGGTCGGGAGATTTATGGGCGTGTGGAATGCGGTTGAGTGTCTGTTCGTGTGAGTGGGCGTGGTATTTCACATTTTCAGCAGAAACGGCAAGTTTAAGGCAGTGTTATGCAAGTAAACCTATGCGACAATTTGTATAACTAACATTAAGACTTATCACTTTCACTTGGTTGGTTTTGGAAACTGGAACGGGAGAGCTGCCCTTAGCTAACCAGGTTCTCCACATCGGACACAACCACCTCCAGGTCCGAAGGCAGCTCGTTGTTCTCGTTCGATGCTGCTGCGGCTGCGGCTCCTGCAGATGTTGCTGCTGCAGAAGTGGCTGCTGCTCCTGGCTTTCCGGTTGCAGCTCCTGTGCCCGTGGAGCGCGTCCTGAAGTTGTGGAGGCTTCTTCTCGTGGGCTGCGAGGGCGGGTGACGCTGCATGGCGCTGGTGGAGGCGGATTGCTGCAACGCCACTCCGGTGGTTAGGCCTGGAGTGATGGATGAGCTGCTGGTGGCCGTGCTGCTGGAAGATTGGCGAGAGAAACTGGGCGGAGGTGCTCCAGTGCTGGGGACGACACTGCTGTTTGCTCCTCCCAAACTGGCCCTAGGAATGTTGCTAAAGCTATTCCGCGAGTTCCTTGTGGGCGGAACAGGCACTGCCTTTGAGGAGGACACGCTGCTGTCCCTGCGGAGATTGGCATTGGACGAGGAACGTCTCTGTGGCGAGGCGACTGCCATAGTTGGTGGATCTTTCCCGCTTCTGGTGGCTCCACTACCACTTGCCTTCAGGTTCAGACTGCTGCGCTTCTTGTTCTTGGACAGATTCTGGCTGAGATTGATCAGATTCTGAGTGCTGCCAAAGTTCCGCGTGAGATTGACCGATCCGCTGGCCTTGCTGCTGCTCCGGCGAGGAGCGGCCGCAAATGGATTATGGGTGGACAGGGAGTTAGACCTGCGATAGGAGTTCCTCTGGGCAGGAACTGGAGGAGTCACCTCCAAGCTGGCTCTGTTCTGTGAGCTAGGAGCCACTTTGCTGCTACTACTAGGCTTTGAGCTGGAGGCCTCTGCCTGCATGTCCACATTCTCGTAGCAATGTTCCATGGAACGTGGAGGCGTTGGTGGCTTCAAGGTCTCGTAGTTGGGCTCGTTGAGAGTGAGGATCTGGTTATCGTCCTCCGCCTCGTTGCAGAGCAGAAGGGCACTCCTCTTGGCGCGCGTAGACACTTCCTTTGAGGCGGACTGTCCCCCAGTTCGGTTACTAGTCTTTTGGCTTCTCTTTGGCCTTACACCTGCGCCCACCACATGGGTCTTCACTTTCGGTTTCTTGGACAATCTCAGGGAAAACTTGAAGGGCGGCTTGTAAACCACCTGCAGTTTGACCTTCTCGTTGGACAGATTGCCCATGGACTTGGTTTTCTGCGGTGTCTTTTGCACCAGTCTCTCTGGCGTAGATTGCGATTTGCTCATCACCTTGCGAACCCGAGAGCTGTGCTCAATGTGGGACAATGGTTGAGCCACAATGGGCGATTCGAGCAGCCACTTTTGCACCTTGCCAAAGGTGTTGGTATGGTTATTGGTGGTCGACAAGTTGGAGGCATCGTCGCCGTTGTTGTTGCGGTTTGAATAGTCGATGATCTCCTTCATGTGCTTGCCCATCTTCTTGCTGGACTTCTTGGGCTCCTCCTCGAGGGATTTCTTCTTGGCCATCGCTTGGCTTCTAGTGGTCTTCTTTGGCTCCGGATTGGCACTGCTTTTGGCTGCACTTCGGGTGGCAGCTGCAGCAGTGGCTGTTACTCCCGCTCCAGCTACTGTTCCCGTTCCTGGCTTCTTGGTTCGCTCGCCACGAACCTTCTTCTTGAAAGGTACCTTTGTCCTCACGGCTGTATGAACTATCACGCCGTTGTTGTTCTCCGGAAGACGCACTGTCTCCGTGGTGGCGCTGTGTATAATGGTGACGGACTTAAGCTTCAGATTCGACCGCTTCGCCAGCAGCTTTGTGCTCAGCGCCTGTGAAAATAAATGAGGTATTATAATCCAATCAAATTTAAAATAAGGAAAAGAGCAAAGGTAAATGTTTAAATGACTTCTACACTAAAGCTGCCCTCAAATTAGCCACTGACTAGATGCATGTTCTCCAAACACTCTACAGGATTATTGCGGGCACTGAAAGTCTAACTGCTCACCCAAGGCCAAAGCCCTTGCTTGCGCTTTGGCTTCGACCTGATCCCTTAACATTTGCGTTAGAAGTCTCATAAACTTATTGTGCCAAAGAATATTTAATAGTGTATTTAAGAACTTTTCTCCAGTTTCCTGTAATGTTACTTACCAGGAGCAGGATAACGCCCACAGCAGCTAAAGCTACCGTGTACCAGTTGTGCTGCATCCACTTCTTGAAGCTGGCGATGCTCTCTTCGGAAAGCAGGAGCTTGCGCAACGTGGCCAGTGGTCCAGAGGGATCCACCTCTCTGCACTTTTGAAACACATCACAGTATCTTAAAAAATAAACGAATTATTAGTCTCATGAATTGTGGTCTACAGGGCAGACGATACGCACCCATTATAATCATTGCAGGGAGTTCCAGGCTTGGAGTACATATCGGGCACATCGAAGGGCGCCTCATTCCACTCGAAGGAACTGCGGCAGGGACTGTCCTCTCCTGGCAGCTTGCAACACAGCTCACATGACTTGATCCGATCGTCTTGGGGTCCCGGAATACACTGACACGATTCCAGACCATAGGCCAAACAAATGCTACCCGTACAGTCGCCCATGTAGCAGACGAACTCCTTGTTGCAGATGGTTTTGTTGGGTTTGTTCACCGACGGAGGGCACTGCGGCACTCGCCCATCGCAGAATGAAGGATCCCGGCAGCCGTTATCATCCCGACACTTGTCACCGAACTTCAGTTTGCAATCGGTGGTGCAGCAGGGTCCTTGCGAGGGACTGCAGCGGGCATGCGGCGTCAGAGTGCACGGAGTTTCATCCAGACGCGGTTGCCTTGACATGGGAAAGCAGCACGAGTCCTTGCAGTCCTCCTCCCATCCGCAGTCGCACTGCTCGCCCGGCTCCACCACGCCATTGCCGCAAATCGATGACTGCGGCTCTGTGAAACAGCCCTTCATGGAACGTGCCTTGGCATTCAGCACGGGTTCTATTGATTTCAGAGAGCAGGTGCTGAACTTGTTGTTGTTCTTCTTGTCGCCCGAAGTGGCGCGTGCGAACATGATGAAGTTGCCATCCTCGCCACCAGGGGTACACTGCTCCGGATCGTGCTGAAATGGGGGAACACTCTTAGTAACATTTATATTTTATACATATTTGTATACTCCTCACCGGTGATCCAAAGTTGTGGCCAATTTCGTGGGCCAAAGTCACATGGGAGACCGCCGGTGGCACATGCTTTCCATAGTTCAACAGAGTGACAATTCCCGTATTGAGTGACTTAAGGGACCCGCGATAATGACCATTTTTCTCGCAGACTCCGCCGGCATTCTTTAGATCTCCCGTCCAGGCCAAGCCCAAGGTTCCCATCTCGAAGTCACGGTAGGTGAACATGTAGGCCAAGCAAAAGGCGTCGTAGTCCTCCTCTGGTAAAGTAAATCAACATATGTATAATATATTAAAAAGTGCATTTAAATCATACACTCAACACAAATGTAATTAATTAAACAACACAGAAAATGTTATTTGCGTATCAATAAATCAACTCAATTAGTCAGCTCGGGAACTCAAAACTGGATCAATTAATCAGCAAGTCAATTGTAATGTATAATCGCTCACCCGAAAACAGTTCCAGGAACTTTTCCACTCCGTAGTTGCCGGGGAATCGGTAGCTGGGATCCTTCATCGCGTTCATGTTGTGCACCTTGATGCGCTTGATCATAAAGGTGATGTTGTCCGGCTTCCCATCGTTGTTGAAGTCCGTGTTTCGGTAGATCGTGTTGGCCCGCTGCACATGCCGCGTGATGGCCTCTATGGACGCCTCGTCCGAGCCCATCTTCTGGAAGAAGGTGTGATCCGCCTGCAGGTACAGCATGCAGGTGGTCTTGCGATCGTAGAGCAGCCTGGGGGAGCTGTGGATGTCCTCGCCACCCCTTCCGCTCAGCAGATTCGTCATCAGCATGCTATTGAAACTGGGATTGTGCGGATTGGGGGCAAATATAATCTCCGGATTGTAGTTGTTCACAATGATGTTTGGTTTCTTGGTCGCTCCGTTCTTGGTGATGATCTCCACATGCGTCTTGTGGCTGGGGCGGTCGTTGCCATTGTTGTTGTTTCCCAGAAAGAGCGTCGTCCAGTTGGCATTGAAGAAGTTACTGGGCAGCTCGCGGGTGCCATTGTTATTCGGTTCCTCGTAGGGCGTTCCGAATTCCGGTTCGATGGGTCGGTTGTACGTGCTCACAATAATGTTCTTGTGTTTTGTGTACAACTTCCGCACATTGTTATTACCATTATTATTATTGTTGCTGTTGTTGTTGTTGCTGTTATTGTTATTACTATTGCTGTTGGCATTGTTGGTGCCGCTGCTGTAGCTGCGACTTCCCTCGCCGAGATTGGAGGGATTGTAGTTATTTACAAGTATGTTGCGGTTCGACGTGGGCTTAGTCAGCGTGGCCAGGAAGCTCTCGGTGCTGCGCACAGTGCTCCTGGTTGTGGACGTGGTTGGGTGCTTTCGCGGCGACTCCTCGCTCTTGTCCTCTTCGGAGGCAAGGACGCGAAAGTCATCGTTGTAGGGCACCTCCAAGTCCAGCGGCAGGGGCGGATTACGATTGTACGTGGGCGCCGGAGCGTCCGACATGGCCAGCTGAAAGGCAAGGTTCATTAGAATGGAATTCGTATTGTATTCTTAGGATACTCACCTCCTCTGGCAGCCAGCGCTTCTTCCTCAGCTTCTCGCTGGCGCAGTGCGTCTTGGCGGGAGTGGCGGAGTTGAGTCCTCCGCCGGTGAACTGCTGCTTCTGCATATTTACATCACTTAACTTATAGACTATGCTGTGGACACCGCTCTCGGCCAGCTGCTGGGAATACCGGTGCGCCGGCTCGATGTAGTAGTGCTCCGCCTGAGTCTCTATCGTGCCGTCCAACAGGTTGTCGCTGGTGAGGATCGCCTGGACGTGGGCCGCCTCGTCGTCCTCCAGGCTGCCCGTATAAATGCGCGACACATCGTAGTCGATGGGGCCCAGAGTGTTCTCGATCTCCACGTCGTGGGCGAACACCGAGTGCGGCTGTTGACGCAGCACCAGGCGGAAATCTCTGCGGGTTGTAGGAGGTGTCAGGTGATTAAGTGATTACCTTTTTGGCTGCCGATCTCGAGTGCACTCACCTGTCGTGGGCGGAGAAATTCAAGCGGATGGTGTGCGCCAGTCCACTCGCCGAGGTGGTCACCTCTCTCTTCTGCCGGAAGCGAGCCTGCTCCAGGTGCCTGACCTGCGCCGCCTGCAGCACCTGGCGATCGAAGTTCGCCGCCTCCCAGTGCTTGATGTAGGGCGTCAGCCTGTGGGTGTAGCCTGCAAGAAGAAGGGGGCATCTCAGGGGTTAGTGGGAGCGGGAGAAAGCTGCCAGCGGCAATGACAAGATGAAATTTCTCCTAACTAAGTGATGAACAAATTTGTAGGTAGGCTATAGAAAGCAACTGGTTGGGGGGATTACAGTGTACTTAATGAAGCATATATTGATGATATGGAAATAATATACTTGGGGTGCCTTATCAGATTACTTCTCAGATTAAACTTTGGGGATATCTTTGGAAGCCCTACTCACCTGGCAGCTTGAGCGGCGTGGGAATGGCCAGGATCTCGCCGGGCAGCCACAGGAGCCAGAGGAACAGGACCTGGAGCCCGAAGAGGCCCAGCAGCCAGCCCATCGTGGTGCGATCCGGGTAATTCTAGGTGGCCTGGACTACTCGAAGGTTGTGTATTCCGAACTCGACCCCTGCTGCTGCATCACATCATTTGTTATTCGTTATATGTTATTGCTGTGGGATTCGCTGCGAGGAAGTGGCTCCAATCGGTGACATCTCCGCGGGAACTGGAGGAGTGGAGAGTTGAGAATCTAGAACGGTTATGATCGCGAGATGATTGCATTAACGGTCCGGGGCACAAAGAAACTGCATTGCGTATACGCCGTGATTTCGCATCTCCAAGTGGCTTTCACCTTTTACGCGAAATCTTTTGTTCAGCTCGAAAATCTGTGTATTTTTATTCTGTTTTTTTCTTCTTTTTTTGTTTTGCGTCTTTTTGCATAAATGGCAAAAGCAACAAACGGCAAGGGGAAGAAGAAGAGCGTCACAGCATCTCATTAGCACAACACACACACACGCACACACGGAGCAGTGGCGCTCGTATTGGTGTGCCCGTGAAAAATACTGTTAGTTAGGCGCTCTCTTTCATTGCTTACCTCCCTATCTCGCAGACTTATTGGCCAATGAAATTAAATGCATTCTTTGACAACCGTTTAATTGGATAATTATTGTTTTTGCCCAACAAACATACAAGTGTGCCCGTGTGTGTGTGTGTATTCTACCTGAGCTTTGGATTTGGCCAAAAAAAACCCCCTCTCTTTTCACTGCTCTACCCTCTCTTTCTACTCGCTGCTCGCTGTTGTTGTTGCGCTGGTCGCAAACCAAAATAAAATACACGTAAAATTCAATTAGCCACAAATTGTTGCACTCTTTTTTCCCGTTTGCGTTAATTGGATTTGCGGAATTTAGCCAAATATATTGGACAAAACACACACCACGCACACACACAGGGATAACAATCGACCTCCGTTAATGGCGTAAATGGTATAAGCCAGTCGCAGGTTTTTTTCTATTTTTTTCGTTGTTGCCACGGCCTAAAACCTGTTCTTCTGCCCAATCATCCAGGCCTAAATCGAGCAAATTTCATGACTTCCCGTGCCGTTTTTGGATTTTCTGATCGGTTGATCTTAGCTTTAATTAACTTATTTGCTTGGCTGCTTACTTTTCAGTCACTGGAGCACTTGCATTACAATTGCTTTTTCTGCGCTTTTAACAACTTTTTTCGACCACCTTACCATCCACCAAGCAGTGTGACCGCACCACGTATTGACCGTTAAAATGTCGGGCTCAGAAAAATACACTTTGCTGTCGAAAAATACCGTAAACGTACTTTGAGCTGAACTTTTAGCCGGGACTCGAACCACCTCATAGTGGGCCTAAAGCAAATATTCAGAAGATTATAGAGCTGATATAAAAGTAAATGCTTTTCATTTCGAGGTAATTGCTTTTAATTGTTACCCACTCCGCATTCAACAATAGTGTTTAGATAAGGTAGCTTAACGATAAGTTAACATTTAAGGGCTCCTTTGACCAGTGCCTGCTGCTTTTGGATGCCCGTTCTCAGTTTATCCGCATTCTTTTCCAGCTTGGCATAACATTCCTTGAGCTGATTTCTTTGAGCCTCCAGATCTTCCTCGGTGGCCGAAAGCTTCTTGACCTTCTGGTCGTACTCGTCGAACACCTGCCACCAAGTGGGAAGGGATAGGTTCTCCGGTTCAGTCAGAAGCGCGTGCTCCAAGTCGGAGTTGTCCGTGGGTCCGCTTATCGTGGGCTGATTGACCTCGAAGGTTTCCATGTCCGCCAGCATTTCCTCCACACTTGGAGCCGTGGGTGGGGGCTCTACTTTGGGCTTGGCCTTCCTAAACATCCTGCGTCTCCTAGAAACTAAAATTTATAGAACTGGAAACGTCAGCACTTGTTGAATTTGGGATTTGGGTGATGGTAACCTGAAGTAGCAAGTCCCGTGGGCTTAATAGTAGTAAGAGTAATTAAAATATTAATAATTTAGTAATAAATCTGTATTTATTCCGTAAAAAGGTATTTAATCAATTTTCTGTAATTGTTTACAAAACAGTGGTAAATAATAAGGTGGCCGGGAATAAGAATTTCAAAAATACCAACTGCAGCTAATCGGAGTAATCGATAGCAACTTCGATATGAACTTTAACAGTTTGTTTACCACTCTATGTCATCCCTAATTTGCGCGGCATAGTTTTAGACCAATTGCCATTTCTACAGAATTTTAACCAAATTATGCGGAATCAGGACGAACTAAGTCAGGGCGCCAAGCAGAGGTTTGTGGAGACGGCTGCCAGGGCCAAGAATCCCCTGGAATCTCTCAGCTACCAAAGCTACAAGGCCCCCAGCGGAGAGGAATTCAAACTGATCTGCCGAGCGAAGTCGGATGCGGACTCCAAACTGCTGAAATGGGCTTTTAAGCTGGCCGAGACGAACGTGGGACCCTACTACAAGCAACTCAAGATGGGCTGGCAACCCAAGATCAAAGCCGCCGAGCTGAACAAGAACTGGGCGCGCTACTTAGTGGCCCAGAACGAAAAGAAGGAGAACGTGGCCTACGCGATGTTCCGCTTCGACATGGATCACGGAGATTGTGTCCTCTATTGGTGGGTATTCGTACGTAAATCCCTAATACAATAACTTAGTAGAACTGTCTTCCAGCTATGAAATGCAAGTGGCTGCAGAGCATCGAAGAAAAGGCCTGGGAAAGTTTATTATGAACACCCTGGAGGACTGTGCTCGCCTGTGGCACCTGGAAAAGGTTATGCTGACCGTTCTGAACAACAACGAAGCCTCCCTTTCCTTCTTCAAGCAACTGGGCTACGTCAAGGACGAGATTTCCCCAGATGTCCTGGAACAGGCCGATTACCAAATCTTCAGCAAATCGATGCTGAGCTGAGTATTTATTGGACACCGGAGATTATAGACATTTAGCAACTAGTATAACAACGCATTTATCTCAACAAATTGGCCGTGGTCTCCAAGTGAGTGGCCATGCGAATGTCCTGCGAACTGAGGCCACCCACATCGTGTGTGGACAGGGTCACGTCCACCTTGTTGTAGCAGTTGAACCACTCGGGATGGTGATTGATCTTCTCGGCCAGCAAGGCCACGCCCGTCATGAAGCTGAAGGCCTGGTTGAAGTCCTTCAGCACGAACTGCTTGAAGATGGCGTCGCGACCTTCCACCAAAGTCCAGCCAGCGTCCAGCAGGGGCTGCAGCTTCTCGGCACGCTCTTGTTCGTTTAGTCGCACCTGCACGGAGGCCAGACACAAGTGAGTGGAATTGAGTCATGTTATAAACTAAGGCTTTTGTGTAGGTCGCTTAAACATCAGTTCTCAGCGTTATTAGCTGGTATTAGAAGAGGAATACCTCCATTCCTGGCCAGAATCGGAGAGAGTTAAGTTCGTAGGGCATAAAGCACTTTCCGAAAGTCAAAATCCGGCCTTGGGGGCTCGCTTTCAGTTGAAGGCGATAAGAGAAGCACTCGATTTCGCTGAGACTTCATCACCTTGATCTCAAACTCACTTTCGAAGCGTACTTACCACCATTTTGCGCTTTTTCGTTGGGATTGCGGTTGCTGGGGCTTCTGTGGTTGGGATGGTGTGGATTCTACGGAGATTTGGACGGCCACCAGTTGCTGCCTGTGCTGCTTCTCTCGCTGCTGGCGAATACAGAACTGAGATTTGCGACAGGCTGCGCGAAAAATAAAGCTTCGATTTAAGTTTGGTATTTTTACCCCTCCCCGTCCCTTTTTCATTCGGCAGTGACTACCTTCTACTCGTTGCTGTTGTTGCAGTGGCGCGGGATAAACCAGATCGGTGGCTACTGGCAAGCAGGTTGGCCACTTTCAGGCAGCGCGGCTTAATCACATTCTGGGCGCATTTAATTGTTAACATTTTCGATTTGAAACTCGTTTGTTGTTAGCTGCCGTTTTTGTTGCTGTTGCTATCGGCGAGGAACAGCTGACTTGTGCCTATGTTACCTAACATTTACTTAACAGGCAGCTGTTGAAGATGCCAACTTGTTTTGCGAATGCAGGCTAGCAACATAACTGTTTAACAGCCCGCGAAATTTGAATTTGGATTTCTTAGGCGCTTAATACACATTTATTTTATTTAGTTTATTTATTTGACCGCGCGGATTATATGAGGTGCTAATTTATAGGTTCGCTTAATGATAGTGCTGGCATATGGCTATTACTTGTGCACCACGTTCTCCGTCTCCCCATTTCCGTAGTAGTCGTAGTCCGAACTGGCCGTGGAGGTGGCCAGCTTGGGATGGTCGGTGGTGGTGACTGTGTGAACGGTGGGTCCATCAGCAGTGACCACCTCAGGCGCCACAGAGGTTGTCTTCTTCCAACGCAAGCTGTAGCGACTGCGGATGAACGAGGGCTTGGTCACCACAACCGAGTCACCAAGGGCTGCATATCAGATATTTTTACTCATTTGGAATTCAAAGACCAAAGACCAGTGTTGTAGCTCACCCATTCCGATGAGGCAACAGCAGAGGATCAGGAGCAGTGCCAGCTTCATTCTGAGTTCCCTGTGCGATGTGAACTGTAACTCTTCCCAGCTACTCGACTGCCTTTATAGTCGCATCGGAGCTGAGATAAACAGCTCCCAATTCCCCGTCGTAAGCGAAAGCATCCCCTGGATGATTCCCAGGGGAACTGGACACCCATGCAAGTTCAATCACCGCCAGTGCGATTTCATGTTTTTTATTCGTTATCTCTGAATGAACTCTTACTTTAGCTTACGGGTTAAGGCGACATTGTACAATCGAATCGATATTATGCCTAAGCGAAATGGTAATAAATACGTGTGTGCAATCTGGGCAACCGGCCTCACTCGGCTTTCACTCAGTTGTCCGCTTCCGGCTTGCGATCCGGAGAAGCTTCCGCTTCTGGTTCCGGTTCCGCGGGCCGCGGACGCTTGGGACCGGAGGGTATTGGCGGAGGTGGAACATCCGGCACCGCGCTGTTTTTGCTCTCCGATCCGTTGCGAATGTCCTCGAAGCTGGGCTGCGCCGGCTCCAGATTCTCCAGGGGAAGTGGCTGTGGCTGTTGCTGTGGCTGTGGTTGTGGTTGAGCTGGACTCTGTACGGGATTCTGCGGCTGCTCCAGTTGCTCGCGCGGCAAGGTGGCTCCGCGCACGGGGTAGCCCTGGGTGGGATAGTAGTCGTACGGTGGCAGGTAGTTCTGCCTAATGTAGCCCGCCTGGTCGTAGATCACTGGGTACTGGCTGTACGGATAGGGGGGCAGGTGCATGGGCTGTCCTCTGAACTGGGAGGGCAGTGGAATAAGCATGGGCGGCAGTCCGTGCTGATTCAGCGGCAGGGGCATCTGCTCCTTGGGCATCTCCTGGCGCTCCACGGTTCCCGGTGGCGACGCCGCCTGGGGCTGCTGCTCCACTGGCGTCTCCACGGCTGGTTGGGGCTCATATGGAGTTCCGGGATAGCCAGCGGGATACTGGGCGGCAGTCGGCAGAGGGTACGGGAGCTGTAAGTTAAGGTTTCAATATACTTTTAGAGTGTGGATGATTGCTCAACACAGACGTCGTTTTTAGATAAAGTGAGCTTCTTGAGTACAGACTTATAAAAGCCCAGCTTATTACCGATTATAAAGTTAATCATTGGCTGCTTATAGCCAACAGTAATTCAAACTTGGGAAATATTTCGTTAAGCCTCGCAAAATGAATAAATTGATTTAGTACTGTTGGCCACTTTGAACGAGTTCCTGATGAGGATTGCAAGTACTTGTAAACTCACCCTCTCGTTGGGCGTCAGTCCCGGGACAATCGGTTGGCCGAACCTCACGATCGGAGGACTGTAGAATCCGTAGGGATTGAAGGGTCCGAAGGGGGCGTAGCCCGGCTCATGGATGGTGGGCTGGATGACCGGGTAGGCGCGACTGGAGGTCAGGTTGTCGTCGGTGGTGATGAGTGCGTTGTAGACCTTGGGCTTCTTCCTCAGGCGACGGGCGGCTTGCGAGGAATCGGTCCAAAGAATGAGTCCCAGTAGCAGGAGAATCAGAACGGTGTGCTGCCGAGAATGGAAACCGAAATCGAAATCGGCGGTTATACATAGAAGTTTATACAAGTATCTGGTGCCCATTGACAGCTGTCCCTGGGATTTGTCACTACTGCTGGATCGCAATCAATGAAAAGCATAATCTGTCTAATTGATCGCCATATCGACAATCAATCAATGAATTGTTTGGACTACGCACAATGTGTGTTTGTGTTTGTGTTCGTGGTCGGACGGAAGTTGGGAGCTGGAACGCTGGCTGCTCTACAGGGAAGCTTGTTAGTAATGGCTCCGAAACGTATATATGGACTGACTCCCCGGCCAGAAGAAACCCACGACTTTCAAATACCAGCACTGCAGTCGCCGAAACAATCAACACATGTCAGCCTTTGTTGCGAATTCTCTACACTTCATTAGTTTTGAATTGAAATGTAGATTGTTCCTTTAATTGGATTACGGAGCAGCCGATCGAACCGGACGGTGCTGCTACTTCACACTGAGCGAAAATAGTCCATAAAGAACTGGTATCTCGTGCACATGTGGATTCTACTGATAACCAATTCTTTGCCACTGCGCGGGTTCAAGTGGAGCTTTTTCTCGAGCCTTTTCCTCGGAGAGATGGCGTCTAGGTCCGGTTAGACGAGTTGCCCATGGAGGAGGAGTGGTAATGCAGCTGGCACTGGAGCATGGAAATGCGGTGGAGCGATCTGCGGAACTGTGACCGCGTTTCTGATCTTGATCCCCCGATCTCCGGATCCCCGGATGCCCGGGGGCCGCACTCTAATTGCCGCTATTGGATTACCCAGACATCCAAGTCGGCTGGGGCTGGGCCGCCCTCCTCCTTGGAGCGCTGATTGTTGTTTGTATTGTGTTTGTGCTCCAAGAGACTGACTGACTGGCTGACTGGCTGACTGGCAATTTGCCTTGCTTTCCAAGCATTTCACTTTGACTTTCCTCACCCACTCCCGCTGGCCGTGGTCTTTTCTCTCGCTTCGAGGGAGCAATTTTCAACGCTTTTCCTTTTCATTTTCTAGCTCGATATCGTTTTCGATTTCGTGGGCATCTGGCAGCAGTGAAATTAAATGGAGTCAGCTCGAGTCAGCAGACAATAATCGGTGATCAAGTGCACTCCAAGCCACGAAATTGGGCCACCTCGAGTGCCATTGTGACGCGCGTTAAAAGTGATAGTTCCAAATGGTTCAATGGCTCGGAGTCGCCTCTTGGCCATGGGTGTTTCCATAGGCTCACTGGCGTTCCGGCAAATCCAGGTGGGTGGTCACTCGGAGGTGTCAGTGGAGGACTGAGTGACGAGCCTACTTGACCTATAGACGATCTTACAACCTCGCAAAGAAGCTGAGTCAGTTTAGAAGTTTTGCTTTACACTTGATTGTTTGATGGATTGTTGTTCAGTTTTATAATTGCTTAATTGTTATTTGTATTTAATTTAAAATAAGCTGCTTAGATCTGGACTTTAGAAGTATTCTGAGTGTACGTACTCCATTATAACAAATGAAAGCTCGTTCTATGTGCCATTTTTCGTTCTATTTTAATAGCTTTTATTGCGAGACATATGGTCAAAATCAGGAATTAGCTTTGAGCTACTGCCACTTTAGGTTCAGTGGATGTGAGCCTGCATTGCACATGGCTCGCTGGTGGCTGACTCAGAGGCAAATCGCGTTGGATTCATGGCTAAGACCAGTTCAAAGGCAATGAAGGCAGTGGCGTAACCTTAAACCTGAGTCTAAACTGGATCTTGGCTGAGTCTTTGATGGAATCTTAGACGGGCCAGCGAAAGTGAAAGTGCCCGGAAAGTTTGCCCACCAAAAGGTCCCTTGTGTAACTCGATGGGTATTTAATTCAATGATCAATCAGTGAATAAAGTTATCACAGACGCCGCTTACCTTTTCCATTTGCATATTGGCCGTGTGTTTTGTTTTCCCCTTCTTGTGAACTGTTTCCTTGGATTTACGTATGCAAGTGACGCAGTGTGCAGTGTCAGGAAGCTCCAGAAAATCCAAAAAATATATCATAAATTGTCTGATTCGCACTTCGCAAATGAAATGTCTTTAAGAATGCACAATTTGTTTAGCGACTGGCCGCCGACACGGAATGACTTTGAAAACAAGTTGCAGCAAATGATAATGTGCATGAAGTGCAGTTCACTCCGGAGAACACAGATCACGATTTGAATTCAGCTGGGCTGACTTGAGTGGGATTCAGTTGAGTTGTTGAGTTGACTTCACGCGGAGACTGCCGACGACCGACTGACTCTTTTTGCGGCTGCGCACGCGCGTTTCTTGGCTTTCGGTGGCGTTTCAGTGGGTTTCTGGCGACTTAAAGCGAACGCTGGGCGCGCTCCATGGACAACCTTTTATACCTTCGGTACCAGTGGCCATGGTGGCCGTGGTGGCCATGGTGGCCACAGTGGTGGCAATGAAAAGCTGACTAAAAGGCTTGCAAATAAGCATCTGTGTTGGCTTTAGGCCATTTTTATGGGCGTACGAACAGGAACTTCTTGGAGTTGGCCTACTTTCAGCTAGCCTTGCATCGGGTGTAATGACTTTTTTATGGCTTTTCAGGAGTAATAAAAATATATTTTATAGCTTCTAACAACTAGCTCTAACATGAATAGAATGGGTTAATAGCGCTAATAGGGAAGGATTCAGTTTTAGTTACCTTTTTATTTATTTTTACTGGCAAATAGAACGAATAAACGAATTATTGCTCATACGCCATGGTGTCTTCATATAAAGGGAAGTTTTGCACATAAAGACATAATAGGACATATAAGGAAAGGTCTCTTATCTTTTCCAGCATCATTTCACTCAGGGCATTTGCACTTCGACTGAATGGAAACCGCAGCACCATCTGAACATATCCAAATGCTTTTCCATTGGAGGCGGCGTTTTCATTAGCTTCGACTTAAGTGCTCGGCGGCGTCAAATGAATGCAATAAACCCGGCGAAAGTGTAGAATAGGGGCGTAATGAACAGCGAACTGGGCTAGGAATTCGTTCAGCTCTCGACACTCTGCAATGCAATTGTCAATTGGCAGTTGTGGTCACAACAAGTCTTTATTCTCGGCCAAAACAAACGGGCTTACGGGTTTCACTTTCGTTGCAAAGTTCAGAATGGCCGTTCATTTTGCACTATAAAAGTGGTTTTAGTCATTCCACGCTAGCTGTTGGGCCCTCGACTCTCTGTTGTTTACCATATTGTTTATTAAACAAGGTTTATATTTGCACTGACACTGCGAGAAAAACTACCTAACTATAAGATAATTCTGGTGTTCATATTGTATATATTATAATTCATAATTTAATATTATTGTTGCTTGTTAGTTTGTAACAGCACTTGTTACAATTTTCGGAGGCTTATAGCTTTTCCTTGAGTGTACACCTCCATCTGCAGCGTGATAGTTTGTTTTCATTTGGCGCAGTCACGTTCACAGCCGAAAGGTGATAAGAGTGATCTGATCCGATCCGACCCGGTCCCTCAACCACTCTCGAGTCCCGAAAACTTGGAGATCTGCTGGGGCTGTTTGATAGACCACTGTGGTGGGCGGATTTCCCCTTGACTGGCGGAGGAAGTTTCACTTTCCCTTTTTCTGTTTTGATTGGCACAATGAGTCTACGAACTCTGGTGACCCCAGACTAGATTTAATTTTACTGGCTTAAAGCTTTTCCACCATACATATATGTATCTTCAGATGTATATAGGAAAAAAGTAAAAAAAAAGCTATTTGGTGAGACTAAAAAAGAAAACGAGGAATATTGTGTTTGCGTTCTTAAACTGATTTTGATTTCGTTACTAGACGACAGATGGCGCCACTGCATGAAATAGCCAGGTCTCGCTCTCTCGGTTTCGCCGCCAAACAACAGATGGCGCAAGTTCAGTTTGAAACTTTGGTTCAATCGGAATTTGCTCAAAGTCGCGTCGCAAACAGACTTGTTGATAGCCTTGCATCTGAATTCTGGCATCTGAAAGCTGGGTCTATCGTTGCTTGATAAGGATAATAGGTGGGACAGTCGATGGAATGTTAACTTTATTTTGAATGCTTCGAAGCGTACTGCTCGTATAAAAACGGCTGCTGAGCTGTGCAAAAAATGCAGTTGCAGTTGTGACAAGGTAAAATACACCACCATGAAGGTTCTTAGTATTCTTCTTTTGGCTTGTGGTCTGGTTTTTTCCATGGCTGATCACCATCACCACAAAACTAATACCCCCGACGATATCGTAAGGATGTACGTGGAGTATATGCACACTGTGGATGGGACTCCTACTCGATTGCCGGCCAGCAGAACAAGCCTTCCGAAACCAACCAAATCGCTTGTCTAAAGTTTAACTCGTAAATAAATTATTTGTTAAACGGCCCAAATATTTTAACTGTCTAGCAAGCCCTTTAGCTCGTTGGCGTAAACTATTTTATTGCACCTCGCCTTTTCTCAGCACCAGATGGCGCCAGGTCATGGCTGATGTTCTAAGCTCCATAACTCAACTTATCTTAATCGGATTTTGAAGTGGCATACCTCTAAATGTTTCTGGCGCAATTCTCTAAAAATCTGCATTCAAATTTAGAAATCTATTTTTTTTTAATTTTTTGGTAATTTTTCTGATGTAGAAATTCCAAAAAATTAAAAAATGTCCCAAGGCTGATGTTATAAACTCCATAACTCTACTTATCTTAATCGGATTTTTAAGTGGCATACCTCTAAATGTTTCTGGCGCAATTCTCTAAAAATCTGCATTCAAATTTAAAAATATTTTTTTTTTTAATTTTTTTGTAATTTTTCTGATGTAGAAATTCAACAAAATTAAAAAAGGTCCCAAGGCTGATGTTCTGAACTCCATAACTCAACTTATCTTAATCGGATTTTTAAGTGGCATACCTCTAAATGTTTCTGGCGCAATTCTCTAAAAATCTGCATTCAAATTTAGAAATCTATTTTTTTTTAATTTTTTGGTCATTTTTCTGATGTAGAAATTCAAAAAAATTAAAAAATGTCCCAAGGCTGATGTTATAAACTCCATAACTCTACTTATCTTAATCGGATTTCGGAGTGGCATACCTCTAAATGTTTCTGGCGCAATTCTCTAAAAATCTGCTTTCAAATTTAAAAATATTTTTTTTTTTAATTTTTTTGTAATTTTTCTGATGTAGAAATTCAACAAAATTAAAAAAGGTCCCAAGGCTGATGTTCTGAACTCCATAACTCAACTTATCTTAATCGGATTTTTAAGTGGCATACCTCTAAATGTTTCTGGCGCAATTCTCTAAAAATCTGCATTCAAATTTAGAAATCTATTTTTTTTTAATTTTTTGGTCATTTTTCTGATGTAGAAATTCAAAAAAATTAAAAAATGTCCCAAGGCTGATGTTATAAACTCCATAACTCTACTTATCTTAATCGGATTTCGGAGTGGCATACCTCTAAATGTTTCTGGCGCAATTCTCTAAAAATCTGCTTTCAAATTTAAAAATATTTTTTTTTTTAATTTTTTTGTAATTTTTCTGATGTAGAAATTCAACAAAATTAAAAAAGGTTCCAAGGCTGATGTTCTGAATCCATAACTCAACTTATCTTAATCGGATTTTGAAGTGGCATACCTCTAAATGTTTCTGGCGCAATTCTCTAAAAATCTGCATTCAAATTTAGAAATCTATTTTTTTTTAATTTTTTGGTCATTTTTCTGATGTAGAAATTCAAAAAAATTAAAAAAGGTCCCAAGGCTGATGGTTTTAACTCCATAACTCAACTTATCTTAATCGGATTTTTAAGTGGCATACCTCTAAATGTTTCTGGCGCAATTCTCTAAAAATCTGCATTCAAATTTAAAAATATTTTTTTTTTTTAATTTTTTTGTAATTTTTCTTATGTAGAAATTCAAAAAAAATAAAAAAGGTGCCAAGGCTGATGGTTTTAACTCCATAACTCAACTTATCTTAATCGGATTTTTAAGTGGCATACCTCTAAATGTTTCTGGCACAATTCTCTAAAAATCTGCATTCAAATTTAGAAATCTATTTTTTTTTAATTTTTTGGTCATTTTTCTGATGTAGAAATTCAAAAAAATTAAAAAATGTCCCAAGGCTGATGTTTTAAACTCCATAACTCTACTTATCTTAATCGGATTTCGGAGTGGCATACCTCTAAATGTTTCTGGCGCAATTCTCTAAAAATCTGCATTCAAATTTAAAAATATTTTTTTTTTAATTTTTTTGTAATTTACCTGATGTAGAAATTCAAAAAAATTAAAAAAGGTCCCAAGGCTGATGGTTTTAACTCCATAACTCAACTTATCTTAATCGGATTTTTAAGTGGCATACCTCTAAATGTTTCTGGCGCAATTCTCTAAAAATCTGCATTCAAATTTAGAAATCTATTTTTTTTTAATTTTTTGGTCATTTTTCTGATGTAGAAATTCAAAAAAATTAAAAAAGGTCCCAATGCTGATGGTTTTAACTCCATAACTCAACTTATCTTAATCGGATTTTTAAGTGGCATACCTCTAAATGTTTCTGGCGCAATTCTCTAAAAATCTGCATTCAAATTTAAAAATATTTTTTTTTTAATTTTTTTGTAATTTTTCTTATGTAGAAATTCAAAAAAAATAAAAAAGGTGCCAAGGCTGATGGTTTTATCTCCATAACTCAACTTATCTTAATCGGATTTTTAAGTGGCATACCTCTAAATGTTTCTGGCGCAATTCTCTAAAAATCTGCATTCAAATTTAAAAATATATTTTTTTTTTTAATTTTTTTGTAATTTTTCTGATGTAGAAATTCAAAAAAATTAAAAAATGACCCAAGGCTGATGTTCTAAGCTCCATAACTTAACTTATCTTAATCGGATTTTTAAGTGGCATACCTCTAAATGTTTCTGGCGTAATTCTCTAAAAATCTGCATTCAAATTTAGAAATCTATTTTTTTTTAATTTTTTGGTCATTTTTCTGATGTAGAAATTCAACAAAATTAAAAAAGGTCCCAAGGCTGATGTTCTGAACTCCATAACTCAACTTATCTTAATCGGATTTTTAAGTGGCATACCTCTAAATGTTTCTGGCGCAATTCTCTAAAAATCTGCATTCAAATTTAAAAATATTTTTTTTTTTTAATTTTTTTGTAATTTTTCTGATGTAGAAATTCAAAAAAATTAAAAAATGTCCCAAGGCTGATGTTCTAAGCTCCATAACTTAACTTATCTTAATCGGATTTTTAAGTGGCATACCTCTAAATGTTTCTGGCGTAATTCTCTAAAAATCTGCATTCAAATTTAGAAATCTATTTTTTTTTAATTTTTTGGTCATTTTTCTGATGTAGAAATTCAACAAAATTAAAAAAGGTCCCAAGGCTGATGTTCTGAACTCCATAACTCAACTTATCTTAATCGGATTTTTAAGTGGCATACCTCTAAATGTTTCTGGCGCAATTCTCTAAAAATCTGCATTCAAATTTAGAAATATATTTTTTTTTAATTTTTTGGTCATTTTTCTGATGTAGAAATTCAAAAAAATTAAAAAAGGTCCCAAGGCTGATGGTTCTAACTCCATAACTCAACTTATCTTAATCGGATTTTTAAGTGGCATACCTCTAAATGTTTCTGGCGCAATTCTCTAAAAATCTGCATTCAAATTCAAATTTAAAAATATTTTTTTTTTTAATTTTTTTTGTAATTTACCTGATGTAGAAATTCAAAAAAATTAAAAAAGGTCCCAAGGCTGATGGTTTTAACTCCATAACTCAACTTATCTTAATCGGATTTTTAAGTGGCATACCTCTAAATGTTTCTGGCGCAATTCTCTAAAAATCTGCATTCAAATTTAGAAATCTATTTTTTTTAATTTTTTTTGTAATTTTTCTGATGTAGAAATACAATTTTCAGATGAGTATCACAATCTATAGAGGATAGTGTTACGAGTTAAACGGGCTATCGTTTTCCACTGACTTAGCGCCAAGCTGAAGATCAAAACATATTGAGAAATGAAAATGACTATACTATGAATATCTCGGAAGAAAATACCTATCATTACTTACTATTTACTTTTTGAGAACACACGAAGTTGGCTAATAGAAGTGGAATATAGCTGCTCCCTTCTAATTTACATAAATTTCGTCTATTTGCTGGAGTTGCAATGACTTGCCTGTGCTAGCCAACTTATACTCATGAGCTTTATTTTCTATCACACTTGTATTTCATTGTTCAGCTTCCTTTTGACTCATGAAGTCCTTGACCCAATGGCCAAACTGGCCGGAAGTGGCACACCTGTAGGCCAGGAAGGCCCAGTCATCCAGGTGATGCGTGTCCCGCTCCTTCCGGTTGCAGTGGTCCACCACCAGCATCAGTTCCTCCATTTGGTTGTGGCCGGCAAAGATCTTCGCTATCCGCCTGCCATTGTAGCCACTCTCATCCGTCCACAGTCCCAGTTTCTTTACCAAACACCGCAGGGTGGCTGCATCCTCTTCTTGGCCCTCTTGGCGACACCTTTCCAGCTCCTCGTAGACCTTGTCCGCGGTGGGTAGCTTCCATACCGCAGCTGCTTCCGTCTTGGCAGCCATCGTAATGAGCAGGCAGCTCCAGCAGATGATCTCCAGCCCTAAGTGATGCATTGCGTATGCGACAGCTTTAAGTTTGTAAATGGGCACAATTCTGGTGAACAGGGCTCTTTTATAGATCGCTCGTGGAAGACTAGGGAAACCAGTTCTAGAGCGGCATTGGCACTAGCCTAGAATTCATGGAAAATGCGTCTACTGGCCTGTATAATTGCTGTCACCGCGGGAACATCTGGCGTGACGTAATCGGAGTCTTTAAAAAACTCTAAAGCGATGCTGTATCTCAAAATGATCCATAATTCGAGTACACCGGCACTGGGTTGCGAGTTCAAGTTCATGAATGGCTGAGTGGCTGGGCAGTTTCGGTAAACTGCGCGATTAAGATGGAATTCATATTTAATGAATGGTGTCTGGTGTTTTTCCTGTTGCTCGAGATATAGATGGGGATATGGTTGGGCATGTGTATGGAAGTGATGGGATAAAGAGTTAAATAACTATGTGACCTATTCTGCTGCTCTCAATTGTTCTGCACTGCAATAGTGAGCTGTTCCTATGGAATATACTTTATAAAGCAAATAGCATGCAATATTCGTTTGGTAATTGCTGTATACTTTCGCATACATCCCATAAACTTACTTACTCCTTCTTCATGTGCCTGATTGAGCGATGCAGTTCTCCATCCACAATGGAATCGGCTAAACTGCAACTGCAATTATAAGTGCGCGGCTGACTGCGCAGGGCGACAAGTTCCCAGGATGCAGGATGCAGGATACAGGAGCCAGGAGCCGCCCACTCTGCGCCCGACTAAAGGACGATTGCCGGAGATTCCAATCACACGTTTATTTCCCTTTGTGGCCGTGTGTTTTTTCCACCTTTTTCCTTTGACTGCCTCCATGGCTTTGTTTTCCGTGGTGGGAAATCCAAATCGCAGGCCGCAAATCGGATATGGGCAATTGGGAGTGGGGCATCGAGTGGGCCTTCGACTTTCTCCGCCGACTGTGATACTTCATTAAACAACTCGCAGTGGCGTTTTCACGCTGCAGTAGACCTTTCCGCACCACTCAACCCGGCCCATGTCAGCCGCATTTGACAAAGCTAATTTCGCCCAAAAGCCAGACCTCTCTGGGCACCCAAGCCCAATCCCCCCGAGCCACCGTATTCCATATGGCACATCCGTATTCCATATTCCATTTTCCATTTCCCACATCCCAGACCTCAGCCAGCCAAACGCCAAACAAACACTTGACGCGACCTATTCAATTATTTCTCAATTAAATGTCGTCTAAAGAAGTCATCATCGCCAAGTCGGCATTCGTCATTGAGCGCAGGGAAAGCCATCAGCAGGAAACAGGGAGAAAATGTATCCCAATTGAGTCTAATTAATATTGCAAGTATTTTGGTTTTTTTAAACAGGAATTAGTCATGACAATATAATCGAGGGAATGCAAATTCATTTAGATCAACCATGAACTAATCCAATGAAAATACTTTACACTGGGTTGCCTTGTAAGCACGTATTTCGCCCAGTGCAGCCGCAAACACTTGGCACATTTGCTGATCCACAAAAGTGGGCGTGGCACTGCACGAGTGTCGAAATAGTCAAAGGCAAGGTAAATTCAATTCGGTTTTTCATTTCCATTTAGCTTTGCCCGTGTCGAGATTGCGTTAGTTTGCCAGGCAGCATTAAGTACTTAGTTTCAAAGAGTTTCCATGGCTCAACGGAGAATGAATCGCAGTAAATGGATTGGTAAACGTCAGTGCCTTTGACTTCACGGTGATTGTTTTTTTGTTGAATTTGTGCCAGGAATTACTATGTTTATTAAATGGTTATTACTTGCATTTGCGAGCCTAGAAGGCTTAAAGTTGAATCTCAGCAGCTTCTTGTTTGGATTCAGTTAAGCTCTAAGTAACATTACTGGTTTTATGGCTTTTTAAAATCCTGAATGGCGGTCAGGGAAATGCCATTGCAGTTTAATGGTCTGCGACTTGTTTCCTTTCAATGCGCATTGTTTCTCAGTCGAGCTGCCCACCTCTGGACCGTCCAGGACTCAACTGTTTCCATTCAGTGCAGCCAGCAGTCCAGTCCGCCTTTCCACAGCCCACGGAAAATGGGCAGTCGTTCATTCGGACCGGACTGCTCTAATTGCAACTTTGAAACTCAATTGGGTAGACACAAGGCCACAAGGGGGCGGCCACTTCTCGAGCACAAACCACCAATTAAATATAAATGTTTGCGCTTTTCTGAGCAGCTTCCAGTTCCTTTTTCCATTTTTCAGACTCGTATGTATGTATGTTTCTGGCGCTTTCAATTTGCACATGGGCTGCTCTGTCCGAGCTGGAAGGTCAGTTGAGTTGAGTTGAGTTGAGTTGCGTTGCGTGATGAAAGGCGCTTCGCAGGACACGTGCTTTTTGTTTAAGCCTGGTATGCTGCTCCTTTTTATGCCGCCAAGGACCTGCTAACGATGGTTGCTTCCTTGCCACTCGGGCCTGCATTTTAGTGCCGACTTCTCGGGAGTCGGAGAAATGCGACAGTAAAAACTTTGGCCACGAGGAAATTGGGTGGAGGAGCGGTGACACGCTGCGCCGAAAGTTTTTCCAGCTCGCTCGGAAGTTTTCCGCCCACAAAGTTCTGCGCAAAGCGGACGAGAAAATGCTAGAAAATTGGAATACTTTCAAAAGTTTCAAACCGAATGCAAAGGCATCTTCCATTCCGCTCAGCAGGAGGATGGACGGGGGCGGGTGCGGGAGCGGTGCTTGTTCGGCAATTTTTCCAACTTAATTAATAATTAATTAGTGAATCTTGTGAAAGCCAAACAAGTGGCCGATGGCTGGCCGAAAGAGGGAAATTTTTATATGAAATAATTTCATGTTAAAACCTCGCACAAAAGGCCATGGCAATGCAGAGTGGCGATTGGGAGGGGCTGCACTGCAAAACAATAGTAGTTTGAACATATACTTGTGCTTAGATTCAAGTAGTTCTTACGTTAAATGGGATTAGCATTTAGTTCTTAGGCGACTTACTTAAATGACTGTTTTGAACAACTTATTGCCCAACTCAGTCACATTTTTCTAGCAGTGTACTGGCCAAGCCGGACGCGGACTGAGCTGGAGGTCAGCGCGTGCGGCGGCTTTTGTTGGCCGCACTCCGCGCATTAGCGGCTAAATTACTGGCCAGTCCGATGAGAGTGCTCGTCCGCTGGTCGAGATGGTCAAGGATGGAGGAGAAGGATGCAGGAGCAGGCGGCACTGTGGTAATTGGAATTAATTCAGCATTAAGCCGCATTTTCTTTGGCCAACTCTGCGTGACCGTGGGCGGGGACATCGCGACCACCGGCGCTCCATTATGGAGTACCAACATTTTGTATAATTTTTTTCTATTCCTTGTCCCGCTTTTAATGCAATCGCCTGGGTTGTTAATTAATTGCGCTTAGTTGCCGCAAATGGCAGTTGGCAAGTGGCCGCTTCCGGGTTTTCCCGTGTCCTCCGTGGGCGTGGCCGGTAGTTAGTGGCCAGGATATTGCGCGTAGAGTCATTAGCGTGCGAGCAATTAGCAGAACTTGGCAGCGGTATGCAACTGCAGGAATATCTTTGCAAGAATGCAGTCGCAGTCCCCCTTTTATCTCCTCTCTAGCGCATTAAATAGTTAGTGCACAAAAATATTAGTTGCCTTGCCTTTTCTCTATCGACACAAGACACAGTACACACAGCCCAGAATGCCCAATTAAGTTTGAGTCAATATCAAGCATTGTTTGTGAAAAGTTATTCCAGCATAAAAGTCCAATTATTCCTAATCACATGTCAATTATGCACCCGCATAATAATGCCTGGAATGTCTGCACTTCAAATCAAAGGCAACAATTGCAGTCACAGCCAAGCTTCCATTGCTTGTATATTTTCAGGGGCCAATGTGGCGTATGCGCAATATGATTGCGAAATTTGAGACAAGTGGAGGTCCTTTTCGCAGGGCGAGTGAGACGGATACACTTTGTCTGCAACTTATTGATATTTTGCACAGCTCGAGGGTTGCTCATCGCATTTCATTAAAGTATATCAATCACTTGGCAAAACTGATATTCCATTACTTTAATAACTAATAACTTAATAACAACTAATTCCCATGCCTTATTTTCCGCTCATTTCTTAAGTATTCTTGTGCAAGAACTCTTCGATCCACCCGCTGATTGCATCGCCTTCTTGTAACATTTTGGTCTGTTTTGCTTGTACGCAATGCCACGCCCCCTGCCAGCCGAACTGTGCGCCGCCCCCTTGCGCACCGATTAACTGTTCGTGTGGGTGGAAAATGCCTTTGTTTTTCAACTGACAATCGCCAGTTTTCCTCCTGCCTGCAGCCAGTGTCTTCCATTGTCCCAGATATATTGTAGATAGTCATTGTGCTATTTTCCGCTTGATTACGGCCAAAGGATTTTTGGCACACACGTACTAACACTCACACCTACGGCCACCCAACCAGCACCACCCACCACCCACCACTCACCACCCCAATTTGGCATTGTTCGCTGGCATTTGACCGCGGGCTTGGCACTCGCAGCTCCACCGTGCTGGTGATCCCTCCTCCTGCTCCACCTGGGCACCTTGGCAACCATTAAGTGGATACGCTTATTATCCATTGTTGGCGTTGATATGAGCCAGATTCCCCACATCCGCTCCCCTGACCTCTGCGGCCTGACCTCCGCTGCTCCTGTGTAATTTTATTCATAAACTCAACTAAAACACATTGCCAGCTTGGGCTAAGTACCGGATTTTGTGTGGGTTTTCAAATAGTGGGGATGTGTGCACTGAAAACGAGTGAGTGTGATTACCTAAAAAGCTTTTGTGAAATATATTAATATGTGTAATTTAGATTACATATTTCAACCAAATAAGGGCGCATCTTTATAAGTAATAAGCATTAAATTGAGCGCGATTCAGGTCACGATTTTTGTGGCAGTGCATTGGGGAGTAGGAGGATGTTTTGTTTACCGGGCTTATTTGCTGCTGGCAGTTGGCAAGGCACCAAAAAACACGCAGCAGGCGGCTGGCTGGTTTGGCTTTTGTGTCAATGAATACAATAACCAAATTAAATAACCAAGGT